TAGGAGAAGGATCCGGGTACTGAAATGGCCAGCCTGCAGTCCAGATCTTTCACCTATAGAGAACATTTGGCGCATTATAAAGAGGAAGGTGTGACAAAGAAGGCCCAAGACGATTGAACAGTTAGAGGCTTGTATTAGACATGAATGGGAGAGCATTCCTATTTCTAAACTTGATAAACTGGTCTCCTCTGTCCCCAGACGTCTGTTGAGTGTTGTAAGAAGAAGGGGGGATGTCACACAGTGGTAAAAATGGACTTGTCCCAACTTTTTTGGTATTTGTTGACGCCATGAAATTTGGAAACAACAGATTTTTCCCTTAAAATGAAACATTCTCTCAGTTTAAACTTTTGATCTGATTTTCTGTTCTATTCTGAATAAAACATTAGATGTTGGCACCTCCACATCATACATTCAGATTTTATTCACAATTTGTTTAGTGTCCCAACTTTTTTGGAATCCGGTTTGTATATATATATGTATATATATATATAAATAATTAACAGGAAGACCCAATTCCTCCCTCCTCCCACTCAAATAAGGTGTTGATGCATGTTGTTTTATAGTGCATTTAAAGTTGGGGGGAGGGGGGGGTGAGGCGGCGACCGACACAGACCTAACCCCTTCCCAGGGAGCAGGCAGTGCCCGTTCACTTCCCCAATGCTTGCCCAGAACCCTAAACGTCTACATGCTACATAAGAGTGGGCACAGGTCCCGGAGGTGAGAATGATTACACATCCCACCCCCTATATGCCACCGTGTGCCCACTCCAGACCCTATATACGCATGTGTTGTGAGAATGTTATATGTGAATGTCTAAGTTCTTTACTAAAATTGGGGCCCAGGTATCCACAAACCATGGAGATGGAGGATCCTCACTGCAGCTCAGTAGTGTACCTGAACCCCAAGGCCCTGCTTGAATGGTGGTGTGATGGAGGGGGCGGACGAAGATGTCGGGATGGGGAGGAACAATTGAGGTGGCAATGCCCTCCCAGGGGGTCAGCTCCCCCACTGACCCCAATAGGCACCCCCATTCGCCGAGATCCACCAGGGGAGGGAGGCTCCAGTACATCCATCCAGGAACGAGAGGCAGCCGCACCACCAGGGACCCAGGCCACGGACCGGCCCGATCCCCATAGCCCCGAGGACTGACCAGAAACCTGAATCAGCGCATGCACCGGCCTAAGACCCCGACAACATACTTGCCAAGACCCGAGACCCCCGGGTCAAGCCGGGACCCCAGGCCGGGAGCGACACTCCCCCAGAACCCCGAACCCGCGCCCACCCCAAACCCACCCAGAAGCAGTAACCTGCGCCCGCCGGTACAGACCACCCAGAAGCCGGCATGCAACCAGCAGAGGTCAACGCCCAGAACCACCAAAGCCACCTCCCCAGTTGAGCACCATTGCCCCGGGCCCACGACCTCCCATGCCCCCAGCCCCGATACCCCCCACATCAACAACGATGCCACGGGACGAATCAAAGGGGTTTACCCACCTCCACTACGGGTTGGAGCCAATCAAAGAAGCCCAGAGAGATTGGTGTGATGTGGAGGTACAGGCTATCTCAAGACTGATGTAATCCAACAAAAGGTCTTTATACAGTTTAATACTTAAAGAGTATTTTTAATTTTCCAAGTCATGAGTATAGTTGTTTTTTCTATACATAAAGCAGTAAAAATCATGTGAATTGACTTTGTCTCCAAGGTGACATCATCCAAGTGGCCCAATAAGCAAACTGACGGAGAGTGGAATATTACATCTCAGATACTTTGATAAGTCTTCACATATCTGGCACCAAAACCTCTGAACAGGTGGACAAAACCAAAATGCGTGGATGTAATTGTCAGGAATATTGTCTGTACACTGTGAGCAAACATTAGACGATGCGAAACCCATCCTGAACATCCGCTGACCTGTGTAGTGTACCCTATGAAGGATTTTGTATTGTATTCATTGTAAATTGGGGTTTCTAATCATCTTAAAAGTTCTTAGACATATCTGAGAGCAAAAGTTTTGGTCAAAGTTGACTGACAAGTCTGTCTCCCATTTTACAATGGGAAGGGATATTGATTCATCTATTTTAATGAGTGTCCGGTAAACCTTAGATAGTAATTTGGGAGGGTTAAGATTAAGGAATTCTAATACACTTGTTGGTATTTCAATTCTAGTGTTATTAAGGTTAAATTTATTTTTGTTATAGATTTAATTTGTTGATATTCTAAAAATTTATTCTTATCAATCCCATATTGTGTATTAGGGCTGCAACTAACGATTATTTCAATAATCGATTCATCAGCCGGTTATTTTTTTCGATTAATCGATGAATAGGAAAAAAAAAAACACGTTTTAATTTCCACCCCTTTATTCCAAAATTGAACATTTGACTGACATAGCAATTCGCACAAAAAACAGATTGCTATTTGACTATTCTGTTAGTAAAATATTGAATAATAAAAAAATAAAAGTCAAATAGCTTAAAAAAAATAAATGTACACAAAAACATATACAAATGTATGCTTTATACCTGCACAATATGTAGCTACTTTGTAAAATGTGTCCTTGAGGGAAGAGTGTAACCTGGATTAAAAGTGTGGATCATTGCGGTGAAGCCTTCGTCTTCAACCATCGACAGAGGCCTCATGTCAGCGACTCTCATTTAAGGATGTTTTCAGTGAAGACAGCTGCTTGCTGTGGTGTCCATGATGTCTGTCCATCATGAAGGCTGTCATTGTTTGTTGTTGTTTTCTGGAATGAGAGAGTACATATGTATTATATCATAATTTACAGCAACTCAAGGAATGCCTTGTTTCACTTGCTGTGTTAGGTTCAGGCAAAAGTAGCTAAAAGAGCAATTAAACACACACACACACACACACACAGGTCCTTCTCAAAAAAATAACATATTGTGATAAAGGTCATTATTTTCCATAATGTAATGATAAAAATGAAACTTTCATATATTTCAGAATCATTGCACACCAACTGAAATATTTCAGGTCTCTAATTGTTTTAATACCGATGATTATGGCATACAGCTCATGAAAACCCAAAATGCCTGTCCCAAAAAATTAGCATATCGTGAAAAGGTTCTCTAAACATGGCAGCACGGTGGCGCAACTGGTAGAGCTGCTGCCTCTCAGCGAGCAGGTCCCTGGTTCAAACCCCGGTCCAGGGGCCTTCTGGGTGGAGTTTGCAAGTTCTCTCCGTGCATGCGTGGGTTTTCTCCGGGTACTCCGGTTTCCTCCCACAGTCCAAAAACATGCATGTTAGGCTGATTGGTAACTCTAAATTGTCCCTAGGTGTGAGTGAGAGAGTGAATGGTTGTTTGTCTCTATGTGGCCCTGTGATGGACTTGCGACCCGTCCAGGGTGTACCCCGCCTCTCGCACAGTGATTGCTGGACATGGGCACCAGCGACCCCCGTGACCCAAAATGGAATAAGCGGGTAAAGAAAATGGATGGATGGTTCTCTAAACAAGCTTTTAACCTAACCACCTGAATCAATGACGTAACTCTAAACACCTGCAAAAGATTCCTGAGGCTTTTAAAAACTCCCAGCCTTGTTCATTACTCAAAACCGCAATCATGGGTAAGACTGCCGACCTGACTGCTGTCCAGAAGGCCATCATTGACACCCTCAAGCAAGAGGGTAAGACACACAAAGAAATTGCTGAACGAATAAGCTGTTCCCAGAGTTCTGTATCAAGGCACCTCAGTGGGAAGTCTGTGGGAAGGGAAAAGTGTGGCAGAAAACGCTGCACAACGAGAAGAGGTGACCAGACCCTGAGGAGGATTGTGGAGAAGGGCCGATTCCAGACCTTGGGGGACCTGCGGAAGCAGTGGACTGAATCTGGAGTAGAAACATCCAGAGCCACCATGCACGGGCGTGTGCGGGAAATGGGCTACAGGTGCCGCATTCCCCAGGTCAAGCCACTTTTGAATTAGAAACAGCGGCAGAAGCACCTGACCTGGGCTACAGAGAAGCAGCACTGGACTGTTGCTCAGTGGTCCAAATAACTTTTTTTGGATGAAAGCAAATTTTGCATGTCATTCGGAAATCAAGGTGCCAGAGTCTGGAGGAAGACTGGGGAGAAGGAAATGCCAAAATGCCAGAAGTCCAGTGTGAAGCACCCACAGTCAGTGATGGTCTGGGGTGCCATGTCAGCTGCTGGTGTTGGTCCACTGTGTTTTATCAAGGGCAGGTTCAATGCAGCTAGCTATCAGGAGATTTTGGAGCACTTCATGCTTCCATCTGCTGAAAAGCTTTATGGAGATGAAGATTTCATTTTTCAGCACGACCTGGCACCTGCTCACAGTGCCAAAACCACTGGTATATGGTTTACCGACCATGGTATTACTGTGCTCAATTGGCCTGCCAACTCTCCTGACCTGAACCCCATAGAGAACCTGCGGGATATTGTGAAGAGAAAGTTGAGAGACGCAAGACCCAACACTCTGGATGAGCTTAAGGCCGCTATCGAAGCATCCTGGGCCTCCATAACACCTCAGCAGTGCCACAGGATGATTGCCTCCATGCCACGCCGCATTGAAGCAGTCATTCATGCAAAAGGATTCCCGACCAAGTATTGAGTGCATAACTGAACATGATTATTTGAAGGTTGGCGTTTTTTGTATTAAAAACACTTGTCTTTCATTGGTGGGATGAAATATGCTCATTTTTTGGGACAGGCATTTTGGGTTTTCATGAGCTGTATGCCATAATCATCAGTATTAAAACAATTAAAGACCTGAAATATTTCAGTTGGTGTGCAATGAATCTGAAATATATGAAAGTTTCATTTTTATCATTACATTATGGAAAATAATGACCTTTATCACAATATGCTAATTTTTTGAGAAGGACCTGTATATACATATAAAACACTTAATTACACACATTTGAGTAGATGTAATAAATTACTTTATATCCTGTTTAAATGCAATTCGTCCTGCCATACCTGCAGTGTCTTCAGACTTTGCCAGCAAATTAAAAGTTGAAGCTTAATCATTAAATTATTATCTTTGTGTTAGCTTTATTTATAAATCACATTTAAACACTGCTTATACCAATTAAATTAAATAAAAAGTAACACGTTCTCTACCACCGTCATTAATCAGATAAACAAGCAGCAGCTTCATCTACAGAGAGACTGATGTTATGTTTTCCCACTTGGAAACAGAACAATGTGTTATATTGTAGAGACTCACCTGCAACACATGAGTTGGGAGTGAGACATGTATCTGCTGCTGCTCCTTGAAGGAGTCCTTCCTCCTCGTGACTCCTACATGCTTCTGTAGTGTTTTTAGTAGTGTTTTTTAAGGGTAGAGATTTCCATCTAGCAAGATTATCCTCAATTTTCTTTAAAAGTGGGATGTGGTTTAGTGTTGTTAAATCTGTCAATCTAGGAGAGACTTTGATACCCAAGTACGTAATATTCCCTGACTTCAGTTGTGTAGTAAGTGAATTGTTGAAATAGCAATTAATTGGTAGAACTGTGGATAAGATCTTAAGAATAGTTGCTCCACAAAACAGGCTCTGAATAGATGTTTTTCCTACTGGGAAAAAAAAGGCTAGTAATGATGCTTCAACTAGATAAACACTAAACTCTTGGGAGTAGCAGCCACCAAAGTAAAAGTATTATAACTTGAGTTTATTTAGCTGAACAATTCATTCAGTGAATGGTATCTTGCAGATTCACACAAGCATACTATTTAAGGTGCATTCTGCAAGCAGCAGCAGCCAAGCTATGTGGATCCCAGCTGCTGGCATTCCTTAGCCTTAGAGTTTAGTTCAGTCAAGCATCAACTCAGGTTTCTTCTGTTATTACCAGCTACACTGTGATAACACAAGTCTACCCACAACAACTATTAATTAGTAGGGGTGCAGAAAAACAAAATGGATTTTTTAAAAAGAATCTAGATTCTTAGTCCTGGCGATTCTAAAACGATTCTTAAGGCCCATAAATCAATTTGAAAATGTGTTTAATTTTATTTTTTTCCGCTCCTACCCCTGAGCGTACTGCATATCGCATTACGTGTCCGCTCGGCCCCCGTAGAATTTTGGCCGTGTAGGCCACCGTTCAACAAGCTAGTTAGCCAGCTCCCTTTATATGAATAGAGTCTGCTAGCATGGAGGAGGGGGACAGCGTGATTTAATCCGCTCCTTCATCTTTAAAAATCATTTCAGATCCTTCAATGTTCTGGGGTACAACAGAGCTTAACAGGTTGAAGAGGACAGATGAGACATCACCTGGAGCCAGTTCTAAATGATACAGTTTATGGTTTATAAATTATAGTTAAGAAGATGTTTTTGTGCAAACTTGCACAGGTTTTGAAATTTTGTTAAAGATTTATTAAATATGAATCAATGTGGTTAAGACTGTGAAGTCTGTATATTTCATATTAGGTTAAGGTTTGAAAATATAGTAAATGTTAATATGGTTAAAAAAAACTGTGAAGTCTGTATTTTATTTCGAGTTAAAGGTTAATGCACTATGGTAGGCTGAAGTCTGTTTACTTTTGTATTTATGCATTTTCAATCATTTGTCTGTGATGGACTGGAGAACTGTCCAGGTGTCCCCCGCCTCTTGCACAGTGATGGGTATGGGTACCAGTGACCCCCGTGACCCGTAAAGGCAAAGCGGATGGATGGATTTAGCGCCTTTCTATCTTGTCAAAATACTCAAAGCGCTTTACACTACAAACTGTGCCCTCATTTACCCATTCATACACTCTACTATAAATTTACAAAGATTAACTAGTGCTTTGGATCACATTCATACACCAAATGGACACACAGAGGAAATGAGGGGTTCGGTGTCTTGCCAAGGGAGATTTAAACATGTGACTGCTTGTGGAATAAAACCCCCAACTCTCCCATTGGAGGATGACTGCTCTATCCACTCAGCAATGACCACCCAAAACATCACACTGTCTTAAAATTTCTCACGAAGTACAGTGTATCGAGTTTATAAGCAGGTTTTACAATGGGAAAGGTTTTATAGTCTCATTTAGATTAAGATTTCTTCTAACAACTGTATTTACAGCCTGTGAGACTAACTCTGAACAAAGTTGGTAGCGAGCATAGATTAAAAATGCACACAAAATGAAAGATTGCAATTTTTTAAACATTATTTCCTCCAAACTTCCAACCTTGGAAGTAATGTAGGATTGGTTAAAAGACCAAAAAAACTAGGAAAAAATGGTAATAACACAAGGACCAACTCAGAAAATGTTTGGGAGAAATAACAAAAAAAGAAAAACTTCAGAATGGTTTCCTCTCTGAGGAAGGCGAGTTAGTATTTGTACTTTGACTTGACTCACCCACTCTAAGACGCGAATAAACCCAAGAGGTTCTTTAAGCGGACCCAGGTCCAGGGAAAATCTTGACAAACTCTGCAAATCACATAAAAAATAGTGCAAAGACGCGATGGAAAACAGTCCGTCAAATTTAAAAGAGCATATGACATGGAGCCCTGAAAACTATCGTTACCGGTTTATCATCATCTTGTAGACAAAAGTGGCTCTAGTTAGCCAACAATCTGGGAGCGACATGCTAACGCTAACTCATGCTAACTTCACTAACTCACCTACCTGAGCAGCGTCCATTGGGATGACTGTGAATTATAAAGTCGTTTGTATTTTACTTGTAATGTTGTCAGTTTGTGTACAGCTCAGCTAAAGCTTTTCTGTTAACGTTAGAGCACTGATACGCGATATGACAGCAGTCCGCAAGTGACTCTTTTTCCTGCTTCTTCTTCTTCGTCGTCGTCTTATGATATCTATGTTCGTCTCCTTCTTCTTCTTCTTCTTCTTCTTCTTCTTCTTTGGTTTTTAACGGCAGCTTGCATCCATCAATGTTGCACTACTGCCATCTCTTGGTGTTTATAAGTTAATTTCTTTCCTCAAATTCTCTTATTGAGTCCAGTATTATTTAAAAAACGAAATATCTTTCTTTTCCCTTCATCACTATTCAGCTGCGAAGCCACATTTTCAAATTTTAGTTCCCTTTTACAACCTATTTCCATTCTCAATAATCTTCTTTGACCCACATATTTCCTGCAATTAATAAAAACATGTTATATTGTTCCTGTGGTATTACACCAATCACATTAACCAGTAAGATCAACCTTTATTTATACAGGTAAATCCCATTGAGCCTCGAGGACTCATTTACAAGAGAGACCTGATAAAGACCTGTAAAGATGTTTCCCCATCTTAAAAAGAGTGCCATTCAAAAAACTATGCCCGGTTCTTATTCTATTTATAATTATCTCCTCCCTCCTATTTATTCCTCGGATTCTTTTAACATCAACTGTATTCTGTATCCTTTATAAATGTCTCCCTTTTGTCTCATTATTCCAGCTCATTTCCCATAATTTCTTGCTTTCTTTCCAAACTATACTTTTTCCTCCAGACTTAGATAATTTTATTGACATATCAATATCTTCTTTTTTAACAGCTTCTTTAGCCAACCTATCTGCTTTTTCATTACCTAAAATACCTAAATGAGCAGGAGTCCACATTATTACTATAGTTTTGTTTTGTTCACAAAGTCTATGATGAACAAACAGAATCTCATACAAGATGTGTTGGTGATTACTTGAAGTTCCCTTTTCAATACTTAATAGTGCTGATAATGAATCACTGCAAACTAATTTTACTTATTCTACCATCCTCCACCCATTCTAAAGCCAATAATATAGCACATAATTCTACTGCATATATACTCAGAAAATTAGATGTTCTTTTCGAAAGCTTAATCTTTAATTCAGGAATCACTACTGCTACACTAGTTGCTTCAGTTTTTGGATCTTTTGAACCATCTGTATAGATTTGCAGGTAATCATTATATTTCTTCTCTACTCGATCATAAAATTCTTGACAAATATCTGTAGTTTTCCTTTTCTTAATATTTAATAATGATCTATCTACATTAATATATTTCCATGCCCATGTAGGCCTTAAGGGCCATAATACTGTTGAATTAAATTATTTGTTATATACTTTAAATGTTCTTGCTAAATTATCCCCAATCCACCCAAAACTATTTTTAAGCTCCTTTCCTCTTTCCCAACAATTTTCTAACACTTTCTTAACTGGATGAGTTTCATTGTGTCCTTTCAAATTTATCCAATAATTAGCCATTAACTGCTGTCTTCTAATGCATAATGGCATTTCTCCTGATTCTACTTGTAGAGCACATACTGGAGTTGATTTTACTGCCCCTAAACAAATTCTCAGTGCTCTAGCTTGGATGACATCTAATTTATTTAGTCGAGTTTTAGCCGCTGATCCATACACCACACTCCCATAATCTATTCTTGACCGAATTAATGACACATAAATATGTTTAAGTGACTCAAATGTTGCACCCCATGTCAACCCTGTTAAACACCTCATAATGTTTAGTACCTTTTTACCCTTCTCTATGATATGATGTGATTTCCCCAAGTTAATTTCTTATCAAACACTACTCCCAAAAAACAAAAATAATCAACCCTTTCTAACTCTTTTCCGTATAATTTTAACTTTTTATTAACTATTTAATCTTTTTATTTGTGAAAAACATGACTTTTGTCTTTTCAACTGAAAATCTGAAACCCCACTCTATTCCCCACTTACTTACTTTATCTATCCCTTCCTGAAGTTTTAAAATAAGATGTTCCACATTTCTTCCCCTTTTCCATAACGCTCCATCAGCAGCAAAAAGTGATTTACCATAACTGAAAGATAAATCTTTGAAAATATCATTAATCATAACTGAAAATAGTGTAGGGCTTATCACACTTCCTTGAGGGGTTCCATTTCTTCTTATTCTTGTGAGAGGAGGGTGTGTGGAAGAGCGGAGGAAGAGCGAGTGTGAGAATATTGTTTATTCTATATCTTTGCCTTTTCTTTCTTACTGCTTTTTCACTGGGTGTTAATGTTATTTGTTTAAATTGTATTTTTGTTTAGTTTCGTCACGTTTTAAGGTTTTTTTTTGTTGGTTTGGGTGTGGCCGTCAGGCGTGCCTGACTGGCCGGCGTCTGACGGCGTCATGGTGGTTGGTGGTGGAGATTTCTCCACACTGACACGGAAGAACGGTGTCAAGGTGGGCGCTGGTTCTCCGTGCAGTGTGGAGGAAGTTTGTTTGGCTGTCGGTGAGGTGATCGGACATGGGTCCATAAGGTCTGCGGCTCGGATGAATGGCGCTGTGGTTCTGTTTGTGGAGAAGATGGAGCAAGCTCAACAGCTGGTGGAGGTGGGCGTTTCTGTGAACGGTTTGTTTTTACAAGTATCGCCGCTCGCGCTGCCTACAACCAAAGTTATTTTGTCGAATGTGCCACCGTTTATAAGTGATGATTTTCTGATAAAAGAGCTGTCTCGGCATGGGAAGGTGGCTTCACCCATCAGAAAAGTTCTGACAGGGTGCAAATCACCACTTTTAAAACATGTTGTCTCACACAGGAGACAACTGTACATGATATTAAATAGACGTGACGAAGAGCTAAACTTGCGCTTTCACGTTAGACTGGATGATTTTGATTATGTGCTTTTTGCAACCTCTTCAACCATGAAGTGCTTTGGATGTGGTCAGGAGGGACACATGGTTAAAATGTGTCCAAGCAGAGCCGAGCCGGACAAACAGCGGCCCGCTGTGCCGAGCAGGTGGGGGACCTGTCCGGTGCGGGCGAGGCGGCGGGGTGGCCCGCCGCCGCTGCGGGTGGGGGGGCCGCTGCAGCCCCCGCTAATGAGGAACGTTCTGAAACTGTTGAGGTGCCAGCTGTAGACTGTGAAGAAATAAGGAGTGTGTGTATGGAGAAAGGTGGCAGCACGGAGGTGTGTGGTGGTGATGGTGGTGATGGGGTGAATGGTGGTGGTGATGGGGTGAATGGTGGTGGTGATGGGGTGAATGGTGGTAGAAGTGAAGTGGTGGAAAGAGACAGTGTGCAGGGAAAAAAGGAGAGGGTGAGGGGCGATGAGGAGTATTTAGTGTGTGCAGATCAAAGTGAGAAAAAAGAGGTGCAGGCAGATGGACACAATGAAGGACAGAACAGTGCAGAGTCACTTCAAATTGAAGTTGAGAGAAAGACAGGTGAAACAGAGGAGGCCATGGAGCTGGAGGTTTCAACCCCGTCCCAAAGACGAAGCAAAAGAAAGAACACGGTCGCTGCTGTGCAGGCCAGTAAGCAGGCCAGTAAGTTGGCTGCAGAGAAGAAGGGTTTGTCAGACAGCAGCGATGCTGAGAGCTATTTCTCTGACAGCAGTGAAATATCTGTGTCGCAAATGAGTTGCAAAGAGCCTAGATACCCTGTAGAGTCTTATAAGAATTTTTTAAAAGACACTAAAGGATTCAGAGGATTAAAAATTGACAGTTTTTTCCCTGATTTAAAATTGTTTTATTTTTCCGCACGGTATCACATCAGAAACAAAGAGGTATCAGGTTTTACAGACACAGAAGTTTTTAGATTAAAGAAAATAATGACCAAAGTTAGAAAACAACTTTGAATTAAATGATGCACAGTAGTATTTTATTATTTTTTATAGTCTTTTGGTATTTTGTTTTTAGCTTCTTACCCAATATGGATTCTTTTAAAATAGCATCTTTGAATCTTAACGGGGCGAGGGAGGCTGAAAAACGGGCTTTAATTTACCAAACTTTGAACCAAAAGAAAATCGATGTTATTTACCTGCAAGAAACTCACAGTGATCGTTTAATGGAAACAGACTGGGCTAGACAGTGGAGGGGGGAGGTCATTTTAAGTCACAGCACCTCCCAGAGTGCAGGGGTGGGCTTCCTCTTTTCTAGAGCTTTCACCCCAAACTCTACAGAAATTGAACACGTCGTTCAGGGGAGGTGTCTTTTAGTCAAGACACAGTTTGATAATTTTAGTATAGTATTTATTATTATTTACGCTCCCATCACCAATGCAGAAAAAAAGCGTTTTTTTGAAAAAATTGGGGAAAGGTTGGGTGATTGTGGGCCTGAAGATTATTTTTTTATAGGTGGGGATTTTAATTGTACAGAAGACGAGTTTTTAGACCGTAATCATGCAGAGCCGCATCCAGCGGCCCAACATGCTCTGAGGCGGCTGGTCTCGTCTCACGGCCTGGTGGATGTATGGAGGAGGATGCATGCATGCTCCAGGCAGTACACATGGTCCCACATTAAAGAAAACCGAATCTCTATGGCTCGACTTGATCGTTTTTACTGTTTTAAACATCATTTTAACGTGTTTAAAACATGCCAGATTTTACCAGTGGCTTTTACAGACCACTCGTTGCTTTTAGGTAGTGTTTTTATTAGAAACATTTTACCTAGAAGCGCTTACTGGCACTTTAACTCAGCTCTGACTTACGATCAAGGTTTTAAAGAGGTTTTAAGTTATTTTTGGTCTTGTTTTAGACAGAGAAAGGCTGATTTTAATTGTCTGAAACAATGGTGGGACTATGGGAAGGTTCAGATAAAACTGCTGAGTCAGCAGCACACTCTGAATGTTACTCGTGACATTACCAAATCTATTAGAGATCTGGAGATGAATATCGTGGATTTAGAACGACTTAGTGAATCCACAGGGAATCGAGAGCACATTGAAGCTCTCAAATCTAAAAGACTAACTTTAGCAAACCTGCTGGAAAGTAAAGTCCAAGGTGTATTGGTCAGGTCCCGGATACAAAACATCACAGAGATGGATGCTCCCTCTAGCTTTTTTTTCGGCTTGGAGAGGAAGAACGGGCAGAGAAAGCTGATCCACTCTTTGCTGTCGGACACAGGGCAGCAACTGAGTGAACCAGGTCAGATCAGGAAAAGGGCTGTGGAGTTTTACC